TGTCTTAATTATCATTTTTGCTCATCAAAGTTTTTATCTATCTACTATAGTTTTTCAGATTGAAGGCAAAATGAAAAAATACTGGTAAAATTTTTCATTCAAGGGCAATACATGTAACTCCTATAAGATATCATCTGACAGTAGAACAACCGGAAGCGTTTGAGTATGGATTTCGAATTCGGTGCTAAGTGATACAATTCACTAGACGACGCTGTCAACACGTAATGGCGGCCATTGTTTGAAGTTGGTTTGGGCATTCCACGCTGTAAAGTAGCATTTATGACATTATTGGATGCTTTAACTTGCTATGCTAAAAACCTAAAAGGTAAAGGCTTATTTGAGATATTCACCTAATGGTTTACTTTTACAAATTGTGACTTGGATGGAGAGTTGTCTAATTGGCACTCATACCACATATTCTTATATCTAATTAATAATTTCGAATAAGTATGATTTCAAAAAATGATTTAAACGGCAAAAATAAAGTGTAAAAAGTTTTGAAACATGAAATCCCATTCATCATCATTTGCTATTCATATATTGAATCCACTATTTACAACCAACGTTGGTGAATCAAATTTGGATGTCATCCTTTAGAAGATATCCGCCCTTGATTCCGGAAATATTATATCTGGGAACACGACGGGTGCCACATGTGGAACAGGATCTGCTTACCCTTCTGGAGCACCTGAGATCACCCCCAGTTTTTGGTGGGATTCGTGTTGCTCAGTCTTTAGCTTTCTACGTTGTGTTGTGTGTACTATTGTTTGTCTGTTTGCCTTTTTTCTTTTTTAGCCATGGCGTTGTCCGTTTTCAAATTGTTCAAGTTAATCTTCACAGTCTCCCTGGAAATTATTGATTTCTATCACTTGGTGCTCAGATACTAGCACATGATAGCCTCAAAACCCATACCAGAACGAATCAAATTTGATTGCACGGGTGATCATGTCTCATGCCGACTGTAAGTTATCCGGAAAGGGCATCTTTTTCCCCAAATATACCACAGCAAATTTGTTACTTTTTTAATTTGCTGACTGTCTCAGGTTCATGTCAAAAGTCCATGTACCAACTCATAAGAATGTAAGACATAATTGCTTTAACTTTTGAATACTTTTTACCTAGTCTAACATGTCTAATATAAATATTTGTCCCGGTTCATAAAATAATTTACACCTGAAATTATATAATATAAATTTCCATAAAGGCAATAGAAAATTTAACTTGAAAATTAAACTTAATGTAAAATACAAATTGAGAGAGATATCTGAGGGGTTGACCATTTAATTTTCTAGGTGTGGGAGACGAGGAATTTAAGGGGACAGAATATTCATTTTCTTAATTTGTTAGTATGGCTTATTAAGTTCCCATTGCCACATGAACATTAATTTTCAATCTGTACACAATAATTTCCTGCATTTTATTGGACAGAAAATTCATTTTCATTATGTGTCAACACTCTTGAGCAATGTGTATATTATTTTCAGTTATTAGATATAAGAAGATGTGGTATGAGTTCCAATGAGACAACTCTCTATCTTAGTAACTTAAGTACTCGCGAAGGGGTATTTTGTTTTATCCTACTGGTCGAGCAAACAGCCAAAAAAATTGTAGAGGTTGCGACGCAAAACTTAAATTATCTTGAAAAAAGGGGATTTTTCAAAGTGCAAAATTGAATAAAACTGAAAAAGTTTTAACTTCCGTCTTTTTAAGCGATTCGAAACATACAACACTTGAAAAACGAATCCTTCTACAATTTTCGAATGTAAAGAAAAGGTATGGTTTTATCAGGAACGCTCAATCCAACCATTGAAGCCAAGAATTAAAAGACCTATTTAAAACGCAAAGAGCTATATAAACAGTCAAATTCATGTAAGGTCAACTTTGCATGAGAGTATACCTTAGTTTCTTAGTGACGTCTTAATTCATTAACAAACATGGCAGTACCAAAGCTCAGACTATTGAGTTGTTGATACCCTCGGAGACTTACAGTACACCTACAGTGGTATCACCCCAGTGCTAGTAAATTAAAATAATACTTTACGAATTTTGTGCGGCAAAACACTGTTCTGGGTTTACCTTTATCAGGAACGGTCAAACCGAAACATTTGAAGGCCAAGGATGAACAAGTCCCGAACACGAAAAGAGCTATACGGCCAAAAAAAGGACCTAAAAAATAGCCAATGAAGTAGTTTCAAAAAAGATGCTTCATATTTTCTTTCTGTTTATTGTTCGATTTTTGCCTATTGTCCATGCATGCATGTCGTACCTAAAATACCACAAAACATTTGTTTCAAAAGATGTAAATTGACACCCAGCAAAACAAATTTAAGACATCAATTTCTCCGATTAAACTATCTTCCCTTTCTGATAAGCAAAACATCAAGTACTTCCGTCACATATTGTTTTACTTTTGTCATTGTGTTTTGTTAACATGAACGTTTGTTAACGATCTATCACCAAATTTAGTTATATCCTGTTATATTGATTGTCTATCCAGCTGATACCAAAACGCAGAATATCGATTGTGCTACATTGAGAAGATAAAGATGTTGTAACTTTTAATAATTTAATTTTGGATGTAACACGTCTTCTGATTTGCTGAAAGTTATTTTTTCATGGGACCGTTACGTCAGCGCCTTTTTTATGATTTGCTCTTTGAAAATGGAATTTAGAACTAAATTATAAGGAATTATTGTAATATTTTTTCTGTCTATTCGAAATAACCTACGCGAGTTATTTTAAAATGTGCACCACTTTTTTTTATGTTATTTCTTCATAGACATGCAGAAAACAATATTACAATCATTCCTCAAATGAGATCAAATAATCAAGTTTTTCAGCCTGAGTGAATAAAATATATAAATATGTATACGCTACTTAAAAAGTTTCAGATAAATATCGTCTGACCTGTTACTGTATCTGTATTAACAGGAAAGACAGTAACAGAATAAACAAAGTTCTATATGATTGTATAATGGCTGTTGTGAAATAACCACATCCATTTAAGCAGTGATCATTGTTTTCCTCGCTATTTATGCTTTAAATAATTCAGAATTCTGTAGCCCCTGCAAATCAAGATACGATCAATATATTTAGTATTAATGTATTGCTCCTTTGAGTAAACTGTTAGTTACACATTGAAGTCAGATATGTATGCCCCCGTCGCCATTGGAGGGGGCATTAGGTGTTACCCTTGTCCGTCCGTCCAACCGTACGTACGTCCAGAAATTAGTTTCCGTTATGTAACTTTAGTTTGCCTCAACCAAATGTTATGAAACTTGTACACAATACTTATTACCACAAAACACAGATCAAGTTCGAATTTTGGTGGCGTCACGTTTATCGTTCTCGAGTTCTGCCACTTAATAACGTTATATGCAAACGGAGGCATCATCTGTGTCCCATTGGCACATTCTCCATTTATTTAGTTTTGTCTTTACGGCATAACCTATACCATAGTCAGCTATATATAAGGCCCCGACATGACAACCTATGAAACAATTCAAACGAAGAAACCAACAGACTAGATTAGACAAAACAATAATCGAAAAACAGATATGACAGACATTAACAAACGACAGACAACCACTGAGTTACAGGCTCCTGACTTGGGACAGACGCATACAGAATGTGGTGGTATAAACATGTCTGTGAGCGCCCAACCCTCCCCTAACCTGGGAAAATGGTGTAAAGCACAACATAAGAACAAACTATAAACAGACTCATCAGATCAGTACGAAGCACAATACCACATATAACATAATGATGAAATACAAAAGGTACGGATCTAGGAGTACTTGCAATGACTGAAAGCTAGCTCAAAACCAATGAAAACTAATAAATACATCCTGTTTTCCTAGACTAAGGAGATCAGAGATGTCATCAACAGTCTGAGAAAAGCATCACCTTGTGCAATGCCACAATAAAAGTACATGATATCGAAAGCATGTAGGATCATAATTTTTCATCAATGCAAAGAAACATATATTTGATTATAACGAATTAGAAATTAAATATTAAAATCAATTTTACAAATATTTTAACCCCGCCACATTCTGTATGTGCCTTTCCCATTTCATGAGCCTGCAATTCAGTAGGTTGGTTCCCTCCGAAAATATTCAGTATGCTTTCGGAATATACAAATATTAACGGCATGGTACCAGTCTAGTAATTCAGTGTGTTTCGTTGCATGGTTGCCGTCTGTCATTTTTGTGTTTGTGTTTTAGTTTTGTTAAAAATAAGGCCATTGAATTTTTTTTTTTTTTTTTTTTTTTTCGTTTTAAATTGTTCACTTTGTTCATGCCGGGGCCTTTTAAAGCTGACTATTCGGTCTTGGATATGTGTTCATTGGTTAAGGCCGTCAGGTGAACCTAAACATTCTGAAACCCACCCCATTTTGGACTCTAATGTGTAGTTGTCCCAATGGCAATCATACCATATGTCCTTATTTAATATCGACAGTGTTTCACTATTGTTTACTCCAAAAAAGCGGTACGGTTGTAATAGAGTGTTATTTTGAAGACAACTGCAGTTTTTTACAAAACTACATGTACAGTAATTTGGAAGAAGGTATTTGAATTCTAGACGTTACTGGGGTTTATTCACTTGTTGTTGTTGATTTCTCGTTCATTGACGTTTGTCCAACATCTCATTTTATGTATATCAAATTTGGGCCATCGAGTCCTCATTTTACAACATTAGCGAACTAAAATAGGAAACAGAATGATACATACTTAGAGTTTTATATTCATACTTTTTTATATATATACTTTATTCAACATATGTTCAATGATAAATGAATTCATGCAAATAATATGCAATTATAAAGCATTTCTAATCAGATTTATACGCGGAAGTAGCATATAACTGGTTATTTCATACAATTAAATGGTAATTTAGTATTTAACAATTTACTTTAACTATGCAAATAGAACTAATCTTTTATGGAATGTGGATGCATTTGTAAACCAAACTTCGTGTAGTATAAAACACACATTTTAGTCTTTCCATTGTATAGTTGATACAAGTAGTTGTCTATACATATCTAAGGATGGGGTGTATGATTGGTGTTGTATTTGTTTTTGTAACCTTATTGTCATGGTTTTCACCAGATGTTTCTGCATGTTCCTGCTTTCCTACACATCCACAAACCATATTCTGTCAAAATTCATTTGGTAAGTATTTGAATGAAGTATATTTTAAAATACAATGTGAAATTAATCAACTTTTTTCAAAACCAGTTGCAAAGTTGATCTTCAGTTTTAATTCGCTTCGAATTGTTTTGATTTGACATAAGACAACATATAGAATGAATGTAACTGATAAAATAGTTTGAAATTTCATTCGCATTTTAACATTCGCGCTTCGGACGCATGAAATTAATAACGTGTTCATTTTTCACAGTACTGGGTCGATACCTCTGCTGGTGGACTATTAGTCCCCGAGGGTATCATCAGCTCAGTAGTCAGTACTTCGGTACAAACATGATTAATAACAAACCTTTTTAAAAATTGTCCATTTATAAATTTTGAAATTATGAAGAAACTAAGGTTTCAACTCCCTCAGGCAAAGTTGACATTAGATGGATTTGGCTATTTTTTAAGTACTTTTTGGTTACATAGCTCTTCAAATGTGTCAGTTCTTATACATCCTCGGCTTTCAAATATTCGGCTTTGAGCGTTCTTGGTGAAGGAAAATCCAGAAAAGCGCTTCGGACGCATGGAATTAATAACGTGTTGTTTTAATTTTTTTTAAAACTGTGAATTTATTTAGATAATGTGGTGGTGCTTTCAGTCATCCATCATCATCATATTTGTGAGTTATGAATATGTCAAAGGGTAAAAACTGGTTTTTTTTAAAGTTTGAATCGTTGTACTGTTATCGCTAACTATACGATATGTGCTTTGCTCATTGTTGAAGGCTGAACGATGACCTGTATTTGCTTACATTTACGTCTTGTGGACTCTGGAGGATAGTAAACTGTTGTGTCGTTAGAAATCATACTACATATTCATTTTCATAATGGTCGCTGTTTGATCTTTAACAATGAGCAAACCAAAACCGTTTACTAAAACGACCACTTTTATGTTACAAACTATCAACGATAACAATTATGGAAGATAGCGACAAACGACAGTCACAGACTCCTGAATTGAGACAAACGACAGTCACAGACTCCTGACTTGTGACAAACGACAGTCACAGACTCCTGACTTGTGACAAACGACAGTCAGTCACAGACTCCTGACTTGGGACAAACGACAGTCAGTCACAGACTCCTGACTTGAGACAAACGACAGTCACAGACTCCTGACATGTGACAAACGACAGTCACAGAATCCTGACTTGGGACAAACGTCAGTCACAGACTCCTGACTTGGGACAAACGACAGTCGCAGACTCCTTACTTGGGACAAACGACAGTCGCAGACTCCTGACTTGGGACAAACGACAGTCACAGACTCATGACTTGGGACAACCGACAAACGACAGTCACAGACTCCTGACTTGGGAAAAACGACAGTCACAGACTCCTGACTTGTGACAAACGACAGTCAGTCACAGACTCCTGACTTGGGACAAACGACAGTCACAGACTCCTAACTTGAGACAAACGACAGTCACAGACTCCTGACTTGGGACAAACGACAGTCGCAGACTCCTGACTTGGGACAAACGTCAGTCGCAGACTCCTGACTTGGGACAAACGACAGTCACAGACTTCTGACTTGGGAAAAACGACAGTCACAGACTCCTGACTTGGGACAAACGACAGTCACATACTCCTGACTTGGGACAAACGACAGTCACAGACTCCTGACTTGGGACAAACGACATTCACAGACTCCTGACTTGTGACAAACGACAGTCACATACTCCTGACTTGAGACAAACGACAGTCACAGACTCCTGACTTGAGACAAAAACGACAGTCACAGACTCCTGATATGAGACAAGCGACAGTCACAGACTCCTGACTTGGTACAAACGACAGTCAAAGGCTCCTGACTTGGGACAAACGACAGTCACAGACTCCTGATTTCGGACAAACTCCAGTCACAGGCTCCTGACGGGAAAAACGACAGTCACAGAATCCTGACTTGGGACAAACGACAGTCACAGGCTCCTGACTTGGGACAAACGACAGTCTCAGACTCCTGACTTGGGACAAGCACATAAAAGAATATGGTGGGGTAAAGATGTGTGAGAGGGCTAAACTCCCTAACCTGAATCGGTTGTGTAACATAAGAACCAAACAAAACAAAATTAGCTGGAATCGGCATGACTCTTCCGATCAGTACTAAGCTTAAAATCCACTACTAGTAACAAAATGAAAACAATACCAAAACATCGAACGGTTTTATGATACCCGCTGATATAATTCATGCCGTCAAAAGCTCTTTAAATCGGTACCTTAACTTCACAATAGATTTCAAACAGCAATGGCATACACAATATAGTCTAACAAGATCTTATGCAGAGTTTCATTGTAGAAAAAATAAACAGAACATTTCAGTCGTGATACAAACTATAAATTAGCGAACTGATTTTCACCCATATTCGCTCTGTCTTTCTCTTAGAAAACGAAAATTTAATCAAAAATATCAAACGCAAGGACTGTATAACAACAGTATAATACCAGCCTTTTGGAATACTATCAAGTGAAATCAAAGTAAAACTATGTAATTGCACTAAATCTATGACTGAATATCCCTTATTTAGCTTAAAGCTGGGGCTATTTATTATAACTTGATAAAATTGGACAAATACTATTTATTGTTGAAGGCTGTATGTTCACCATAGATAGTATTAGGTTGTTTTGGCGTACTAAGATTGTTATCTCATTAATGTTTGATATCGCATTGACGCAAGTTATCTTATTGACGTTTGTTATCCCATTAAAGTTTTTTTTATCTCGTTGTCGTTTGTTATACCATTGTCGTGTGCTATTTAATTTACGGTTGTTATCTCAGTAATGGGTGATTACATCTTGAAGTGTAGTATATAATTGACGTGTGTTATCTCATTCACGTGTATTATATCACTCCTTGACGTGTTTTATCTCATTGACATGTGTTATCTCATTGGCGTTTGTTATCTCATTGACGATTATTATCTCATTGACGAGTGTTAACTCATTGACGTTTGTTATCTCATTGACGATTATTACCTCATTGACATGTGTTATCTCATTGGCGTTTGTTATCTCATTGACGATTATTATCTCATTGGTGTTTGTTATCTCATTGACGTTTCTTATCTCAATGACATGTGTTATCTCATTAGCGTTTGTTATCTCATTGACGATTATTATCTCATTGACGAGTGTTAACTCATTGACGTTTGTTATCTCATTGACGATTATTACCTCATTGACATGTGTTATCTCATTGACGATTATTATCCCATTGACATGTGTTATCTCATTGGCGTTTGTTATCTCATTGACGTTTGTTTTCTCATTGGCGCTTGTTATCTCATTGATGTTTGTTATCTCGTTGACGTGTGTTATCTCATTGGCGTGTGTTATCTCATTGACGTTTGTCATCTCATTGACGTTTGTTATCTCATTGACGTTTGTCATCTCATTGACGTGTGTTATCTCATTGACGATTGTTATCTCATTGACGTTTGGTATCTCATTTTTGTTTACCTCACATCTATTTTTATTGACCATAAGTTAATACTTTTAACGTTGACTTTGAATTCTATTTCAACAGCATTAGTTGGAGTAATTTTGAAACGGACACCAACAGGTCAAAAAAATATTAAATACACAGTGCGAGTCGTAAAAAGAATAAAAGTAAGTATCCAGGTGGTTGTTGATTTATTTTTTTACATATTAGTGAGTTTCAGAAATATAAAATACAACTGAAAACATATAAGTAGAGAATCAACATCATAGACAACGAGGCACGGATACAGTCATCTCTTCGACTTATGATTACGATTGATACCTTTGTGTCGTCTTTTTTTTTAATTTTGCACAAACAGATTCGTAAAATTGAGAATGGAAATGGGGAATGTGTCAAAGTTACAACAACCCGACCAAAAAGCAGAAAACAGCCCAAGGCCACAAATGGGTCTTCAACACAGCGAGAAAATCCCGCACTCGGAGGCGGGCTTCAGCTGGCCCCTAAACGAAAATGTGTACTAGTTCAGCGCCACTGACCCAGTTGTAACAAAATTGTATAGTACCACTTTTCAAGCGCACTTCATGTGTTTCTTAAATACCGGTAATCGTCATCAGGGACGATCGATAACATAGGTTTAGAATGCAAAGCTGTAAACCATTCAAGAGCATCAAAATCAAAGAAGTATTGTTAGAATTATACGCCAACAGCAAGAAGCTTCATGTGGTCAAGTTTGAGATCTGAACCCTCTCCCATTTAAAATTGAGAAGTAGACTGATAAAAGGAGAATGTGTATGGATGAGGGTTAAGCTGAGGGTCTGTACTGATTTGCTTTGACGACACAAAATATATTTAAACCAAAGAAGTGTTATCCTTTTAATTACATGCACACAATTTTGATAAAAAAGAAGCTGTTTTTTAAGGGGTAAATCATTAAATACTTATGATTGATTATAACATGTCTTTTTCCATATAGGCCCTGGTATCATTCCGAGACTCCCATATCATCCCAAGGCAATAGCCAAGGGATCATTTGGGTCGAGGGTTGACACCATGGCCGATATGGAAAAGGACATGTTATAATCTTTTTATTCACACGAATGCTAAAAACGTGCAAAGAATTTTGATCATACATTTGTTTTCCTCCACTGAAATGATTTCCTTACATGTATTACAAAGCTCCCCAACATTTCAAAACTACAGTCCTTGAATACTATAATGTCAATGTCTGGCAAATCTTTAATATTCTGACTGGCAAGATAATGCATTGATTTTCTCCATTGGAATAATTTCATTATTATGAAGCTCCCCTAATATATCCGTCATAATTATACATTTCTTAGTTTGTAATATCCAATTTTATGGCAAGCCGTTCTCGTCAAAACTATGTTTAAACCATTTTTCGAAAAATTTACACACTGAGAATTAAAAAAAAACACACTGAGATTAAAAAACCTAAAAATACACACTGAGAATAAATTACACACTGAGATTTCATAAAAACGCACTGAGATTACAAAAAATGAAAAACACACACTGAGAATTGAAAATTACACACTGAGATTTCATAAAAACGCACTGAGATTACAAAAAATGAAAAACACACACTGAGAATTGAAAATTACACACTGAGAATTGAAAGTTACACAATGAGATTTCAAAAAGACACACTGAGATGAAATAAACTGAAAAACACACACTGAGAATTTGAAACTACACACTGAGAATTTAAAATTACACACTGAGATTTGTGCGCACTTTTTATGCGCACATATCTAATTAGCATACTTAATCTGAATCTATTACAAGCTTAAAACAACTAAGGGACAGAACTCGTTAGTCCTTCAATTTGGCGCTAAATGTTTTATAAACAAACATTAAAAATACAACGTATAGAAAAACTACGTTATCAAAGACCAATTAGAACAAAAAAAATACCCACTTACTCTCATTACAAAATATAACCAAATGGTGAAAAACGTTATTAAAATTATAAGAACACATTGGAACAATCTGCAAAAATACAAACAATGCAGTGAATTTTTTCCGAAGTGCCTATTATAGCATATAGAATGCATTCTAAACGTAACAAAAATATAAAAGATTACCTTGCGAAATAAGGGTAACAGTTGAAAGACTTTTGAAAAGGGACCATGCTTAAACAGTTTATAGCAAAAAAAATCGCGATATACTGTTAGTAATAATCTGAATTATAGGCAACACACTTATGAGTATGAGTTATAGCAAAAAAAAGTTGTTAAGTCTTGAAATTTATTACAAATGTTAGTTGTAGGAACCGCATTTCATTATAATGACAAGAGTTCGGAAGACGAAGATATTAATCTGTTGAATTATTCATCTCATGAATAATCATTAGTAATTTGCATATTAATCTCAGTGAATATTTTGGGAATCTTATTGTGTAATTTTAAATTCTCAGTGCGTGTTTTTCTTTTTTTCAAATCTCAGTGTGTAATTTTAAAATCTCAGTGTGTAATTTCGATTTCTCAGTGTGTTATTTTAGGTTCTTAAATCTCAGTGTGATTTTTTTAATTCTCAGTGTGTAATTTTTTCGAAAAAATGGTTTAAACATAGTTTTGACGAGAACGGCTTGCCATACAATTTCTTAATTTGTAACATGCAATTTTTTAATTTGTAAGATAAATATGCTAAGTCGTTATTACAACTTAGCTAAGTCATTATAACAAGTTAGCTAAGTCGTTATAACGACTTAAAAATAAAACTCCACCCTGACACTAACCGGCTTCCGTACAATTCTACATTTCTTAATTTGTGAAATGTTATTTCTTTGTTTGAGTCACGTTTTGGAAAATGTGTCATTGTTATTGCTACCGCTACCAGCCAATGAGAAGTTCCGTTTCTCAAGAAAAACTACAAGTTACAAATAAACAAGTTACAAATCAAGAAGTTTCACAAATCAAGAAGTTTTACAAATCAAGAATGAAATAGTTCCACAATATTCCGCACGAGGTCGCTGTGGATTCATGTAAACTCGTACCTTAGCCAACTCGTACTCAACCAACTCATATTTCTACCAACTCGTACCAAATATTTTATTATTTATATGCATTAAAGTTGTTATGTTCTTTTATATGAAATATAGAACCCTACAAATAAAATAAAGTACAACTTTATTGATTGGTAATCTGATGCAATTTGTTTCCGAATCATAAATATCTAAAGTTAATCATTCGTCTTGGACAACCAGCTCTATATTACTGGCACTGTATTTGACGAATCTACATGTAGGTCATGTAGGACAGAGCGTTCCAGCTCTTCGTCAACAAATCATGACACCACCCCAAAAGGGTTTAGTGATACCCCACCTAGCAAAAGACAGCGACAGGGGCTGTCCCCTCATCCGACGAACGCAAATGCTCCACCGACTTCTGGCAGATAGGGGGCCTATATAAAAAGAAATTGATCAGTAATGGAACTGTAAATATTGAAAATAAATTGAACAACGATAGCTTAACGTTTTGTTTCTTAAATGGTTGTGGGCTGAAGAATAGACTGCTGTGTCCGGATTTCAGTGACATTTTGCTTGGACATGGTATCTAATTGTTGAAACGATGTTAACTGACGTAGATAATTTAAACCTACCAGACGATTATATTTATGTTTTGGACTATATGTTCAATTCCTGTGCTGGCTTTATCGCTTCAAAAAGATTCGAAATGCCTTCATATATAAACTAACAAGAAAAATCTTCTTGAACACATGTTCAACGCAAAAATCAGTAAACAAATCAGTGAAAAAAGATTCATAGAATAAGAGAGAAGAATATTGTTTACTGATTTTTGCGATGAACATGTGTTCAACAAGATTTTTCTAGTTAGTTTATAAAAGCGATAAATCCAGCACAGGAATATAGAATATTGTCAAAAGTTTTTACATTTACAGTTATTTAGATACACAAATGTAAGATCATACATCCCCCCCCCCCCCCCCCCCCCCCCCCGGCTTGGCTTTTACAAAGTTAATAAGTAAAACTCGGACTTTGGTGCAGCATTTTTTCCGAAATCTGAGTTTTCATAAATCCTTTTATGTTTACTTTTCATTTAAACAACCCCATTCTTTTTTTGTAGGTCCTAGCCTATTATTCACTAATCACGCGCGGGTCCAACCATTTTTAAAAGGAGGTTTAAACACATGCAAGTCATATAAAAAGGGGGGTTCCAACCCCATGTCCCCATACAAAAGCATTAGTTGTCAAAAAAATAGGGGGGTTTCAACCCCCGGACCCCCCCCCCCCCCCTTTCCCCTTGACCCCGGCCACTGACTACAATGATCAGTGATTAGAACATTGTATGAATATAATTATTCAACATGTATATGAGATATAAAATTATCGTTCAAACAATTTCATAAAATCAATTACTTCTAAAGATGAATGACTAACTTTAGATATTTCTGATTTGAAAACAAATTGCATCAGATTACCAATCAATAAAGTTGTACCTTAATGTATTTTGAAAACTTTACTGCGTATAAATAATTAAATAATGGATACGAGTTGGTAAAAGTACGAGTTGGCAGAAGTACGAGTTGACATAGATCCACAGCGACCTCGTGCGGAATATTGTGGAACTATTTCATTCTTGATTTGTAACTTGTAGTTTTTCTTGAGAAGCGGAACTTCTCATTGGCTGGCAGCGGTAACAATTACACGGACACATTCTCTCAAAACGTGACTCAAACAAAGAAATTATATTTCACAAATTAAGAAATGAACAATTTTATGTAACGAATTTTCTTCGTTGACAAATTAAGAAATTGCATTTACACATTAAGAAGATTCATTTCACAAACCAAGAATTGTAGAAATTCATGTAACGGATGGAAAAAATACATGTTATAAATTAAGAAATTACAATTTACTGTAGATTAATAAAATGACAGAAGAATTTATCATAGAAATATAAAATCACACTTGTCTAACACAAAAAGAAAGTCTGACATTGACATTATAATATTCAAGGACTATAGTTTTTATGGAAGGGAATATCCGCCATAATTATACATGTCTTAATTTGTAAAATGCAATTTCTTAATTTGTAACATGCAATGAATATTACTTAATTTACAAATGACAAAACGAGCATCTGCCTCAAGTTGTTGTTCAGGGGCGCTTATGACATCATTAATAAAACAAAAACCGGTTATTTGCCTTGGGCCGAAATTATTTATCCCGAGAAGAATATATGACTAGGGCAAATCTGCGGTTGTTGTATATGCAAAACTCAATGTTTTCGTAACAAATATGTGATAATAAAGTTTATTCAATATTCTAAAAACTATTTAACCTTGTATTTGTTTTGACAGGATCTTGACTGTATGTGTCTTTAGTTGCACTTTGTTTTGACAGGATCTTGTTTTTTTCTTTAGTTGCACTTTGTTTTGACAGGATCTAGTATGTTTCTTTAGTTGCAGTATCCACCAGAGACTTACAAAATTTTGCAATTATCACGACGAAGAGGTTTCTATTTCTTTATCTTTAGTTTGCAGTTACACATTTTTCCAATGTGTGCTATATCTTTGTCTGTGTGTGGTTGTCCTTTATGTAACGATATTTGCTTCCGTCAAACGCAGTAGCGCCTGTATCTCCTTGTTTTTATATTTAATTTTGTAGAAAGTAAAATATTGACCTCATGTTTTAGGGAAATATTGGTAAGGTTGGCTCCGAATTTGAATTTAAAACACCCTCAACCGGAGCATCATGTGGAGTGTCATATACTATCGGAACAATGCAGTTCCTCATGGGTAAATATTTTATATATTTTTTTTCTCTCCAATTGCATATAATTTTAAGATAAATAAGACTTTTACTTGCCAAGTTTTAGGTACCAATAACAATGTCTTTCATATCCACTGTGTATCATCGCCACTGGAAATTGGGTACCAACGAAGCGGAGAGGAAGGACAAAAAATAAATAAACAAGGTAAGAATTTCAAAAAAAAAAACCCACATTAATGTCATCAAAAAAATGGATTCTTCGACCTAACTATCCTAAGTATATTCATATATCGTTATATATTTTTAACAACTAATGTTTTATTTGTTATAAGGAAAAAGGATTTTTTTTTCGAAAGTTCAATACAACACTTTAAATTTCTTGAATAAACGATTTAGTTAATTTCCTGTTTAAAAGGAAAGTGAGCAAAATACTTTTTTTGTCGGGGGAATTACTAAAACACTGCGTTTCGAACTAAATGTCTAGTTTCTGTATATTATTGAAAAATAACTCATTTTTTATATTTAAGTCGACAAATCATGCCCCCCTCAAAGGATAAACAGTTGGTGCCTTAAACATAATTTTATAAAAACAAATCAGCAAAGAAACCGCCGGCTTAGAGGATTTAGTTCTTTTGTAGGACGTTGAGCATCCAAACTACTATTACGACAGACTATAAATGTGTGGTAACCAAAGACAAATTGTTACAGCTTGAGGGCTTCAGGTGTATGCTCTAAATAATATGTTTTTTTTTAAAGTTATGATAAATTTATTCTTGAGATAACTTCTCTTATTCGTGCAACATATTTATCTCACTTTTAGGCCAGTTTGTGTACTAAAATATGAAAAAGACGCACACCACCTATTTTTGATCCCATTTCTTTCTGTGTTTAATTTTTCAATTTCAAGCATTTATTGGGGTAGGGGTCAATATACCGTTATTTATATATCAGAGCGTACTACTTATCGGAATAGGTACGTAATAATTCTTCCCACAGAAACAAGCAATACGCAATATATGCCCTCCTTTTTAGATTTCATTCATACATTTTTTTTATTTTTCAAAATTATCAGTTAAAAGGTGTTCTACAAGGATCGACAGTCCTTCGCCTTTCATTTGATACCTAAATTACCAATATATATTCTACATAGTTTGATGTTTACAACTATGGATAGGAATTTGTTTTTTAGATATATTTTATACTTGATTTTGGTGTCAGTTGGGGTGAGACTATACTCGACTTGGTGTAGAGGGAGGTCGGATGAAACTCGTATGTGTAAGTGGCTGACAAGTAATTTGTATGCTGTTCGTGTTTTTTAGGACTTTATCATACCACTAGGGTTTCTGAAATTGTCCGGTTACCTTTAAAATAAAAACACAAAGTTCTGTTCAGTTGGAATACACAGATCAGTTTTGTTTATTATTGTACAATACTAAATATCAAATTAAAATACAAATTAAAATAGTAATAATTAACAAATACAATAAAGTTGTAAATAAATCAAATAACATTGAACAAATTAAGCTTTCATTAAATTGATAAAATTAAAAGAGTACATTGTTTCTATTTTCAGATTACAGTTTAAAAATTTACTTTTAACCACAAATTCTTTCTCAATTTAAATGATTAAATCGTTACAAAAAATGTGTAAAGTTTACTAACCTTTAAAATAAAAACACAAAGTTCTGTTCAGTTGGAATACACAGATAGTACACCAACTGAACAAACTTGTTTATATAGTACCCGGAGAAATTATCCCATTAATCAAATAAAGTAATAAACGTCGGTACTAAAATTTTGCATCTTTGAAGTGACCGTTGAATTACCCTTATTTAAACTCTTAACCTTCCCAATACACTTAAAAGTAACATGTGTAATGGGGTTTACGTAACATGGTCATTTAGTAATCTGAATCGAGTGTTTACTTACATCATAAACCCCACTGGCTAAATTTGTACATGGTCTATAAAACTTTATACATGGACATTTATCTATGGACAAGTGCAACTAAACTATGTATACATTATATTTCAAATTTTGAAGAATATTTAATGAAAACTTCTCTATAATATATATACTACTTTCCGGTATGTTATTATAGATCGGGTCCGAGTTGGTGGTGTTACATCTTACAAAGTCTTCACGAATTAGTTGCCCTATATATACGTTATTTTCTGCCAAGTTATCTAACATATATCTCGATGTGCCCCCTTGCTTGTCTTATTGTTTGTATTGTTTAAAGTGATTGTCGGAATAATTTATGACAGAAATGTTTGATTTCTTTGCCAGATTTATTTTATTGATATAACTCCATGGCTTTGTTCTTCAATTCAGTTGTGGCGTGCATGATCGTTAATTTGCCTATAATTCCGATCAGGTATTCGCCCGAGTTCTCTTTTTATAGTAGTACTTTTTCACGTATAAGATGTTTAATACGTGTATGTCTAAATTTTACTTTAAATTTATATTGTGTCAAAACGAATTTGTTATAAATCAATACAAGTAAGACCAAAAATTGCATTAACAGTTATAGCAGCACGTAGTTACTTTGTTTTCAAACACACATTCTCTGTTTTTAGACTTATGAATGTATGAAACTCGACCTATATATTTGGTTTTATAGAAATGTGAATTTTAAGTGTTTGAAAATAAATATTCTGCAACACAAAATGCAGGAATCAATTGTTTACAATTTTTTTTTTAAATAACGGGGAAAAAATAAGTATGCGTAGCAACGGATTAAAAAAATATTCGATCCGGATAAAATCCTCCTGATTATTCATTTGTTCATTGTTAATTGACTACATTACATTGCCTCGCATATCTCGTTAACTTGGATATATAAGAAATTTAATGTAATCTATAAAACAAATAGATACCAGTGTATATAAAGTGTGAACCAGATAGTTCATTTTCACTGTCATATGCGAGTATTACTATTGTAGAATAAAAATGATGGGAAAAACTGTGTTCATAGATATAGGAAGATGTGGTATGAGTGCCAATGAGACAACTCTCCATCCAAGTAACAATTCATAAAGGTAAACCATTATAGGTCAAGGTACGGCCTTCAACACGGAGCATTCTATATAAAAACGAGAAACGAGAAACACGTATGAACTACATAAACAGACGAAAACTACTGTACATCAGATTCCTGACTAAGGACAGGTGCAAACATTTGCAGCGGGATTAAACGTTTTAATGGTACCAAACCTTCTCCCTTTTCTGAAACAATAGTATAACATCACAACATAGAAAGACACACTATAAAATATCAATTGGAAGGCTTAACTCAATCAAAAAACGTAAATTAACACACAATGAACGAATAAAATTGATCTGTGATACCTGAATGCAAATACATAGTTTATAAAAATTATAAGGGATAAATAATTAAGGTCAAAAGTAAATAAACAGGTTTAAACAAAGTTAAAGTATGATACAATTGTGAAATTTTGTTTACGTTTTGAAAATACAAAATAATTAATTTGAATGTACTTTTTAACACAATTTCATTAGAATATGACTATACTATATATACAATAACATGATTTAAGTCCAAAAATATGTTATTAAAGCAACTGAATCTAGAATAAAGTTATTGAAAGCGATTCATTTTGACATTTGTGCGATGCATTATCACTGTAAGTGCGATCATTTCTGATGTGGGATTTTTTTAGGTGCGAATAATTTTCATTGTGGTTTTATGTGATAATTGGACATGTAAAAACTGACCATATTCATTTGATGATTAAATATCGATGATCTTTATATTTTAAAAATCTAAACTTATCGTACATGCTTAACCACCGTACAATTGATTGCGGACATTGTGCGTTTTTAAGCGATACAGAACAAGCTGATAGAAGCCGATATATAATATCAAAAATATTCTGAGTTATGTACACACTTTGTATACAAAAATTTAGCACAAACTTACAACTTCTCGTCCAATGAAATTGCTTGAATTTGCCTTCTAATTTTCATGGTACATACTTTTTCCGTGTACTAAGTAACTACGCATGTATGACCACAAGGGTAAGATTTCATTGTATCGTAATCAAAATATTAAAACAAAAATTGCCACTGGCTATTTTGAAAGAAAATGCTGTGTTCCAAATTAAATTAAATAGTTTGTAATTAGTTTTCACATTGATTTTTTTGAATATCCTGCTATTTAATCTTTGGATCTAAAAAACGTTTTTGACGATTGTAAGTTTCTTTCATTTAAATAAAGAGTAACAAATATGGTTTTTTATACCTTGATTAGAGTACAAAGCCATCTTAAAATTGTGATAATTTATCATCCATGCAACTACTTTGTACACAAAAAAAAGTGTGTACTATGAAACCTTGTGGAGGGAAATTAAGGCAACTTGATCTATTTCGTCATGAATTGATTGATTGATTATTGGTTGCTTAATGTCCAGTGGCAAATATTTCATGCATGTTCAGGACGACGTCATGAATTGAAAAACCGTGATAATGTCTGAAGAGAATGTGCCACCTATATACATGTATATATATATAAATACATGATAAATCTTTTAGTTTTTACTTTTGAAATAATAAAAAAAAAAAACATAAACCCTTGTATTTTTGATCTATTGGTAGTTGCTTTTCAATGGCTATCCGATAGACTATCTATGGGGACAAACCAGGGGCGGATCCAGCCATTTTTAAAAGGGGTTCCAACCCAGGATAAAGGGGTGGTCTAACCAAATGTCCCATTTAAAAGCATTGATCGTCCAAAAAAGGGGGTTTTCCAAACCCCAACCCCTGGATCCACCACTGCATACTATCTATATGTTTCAAATTTATTATAGCTTTAGTTTTAATGTGAAATTGAAAAATGTTTTCAAGACATGAAAAGCTTCCACTGCAATTTAATTATTGCCTACTTTTGGTCAATTTGTTTTGTCATCTTACCATGCAAAGAAGTACATGATGTTAAAACACCGCTTTATATCAATAAACATACTTACACCAGCAGCTGCCATCTTTTCATTCTGGAGTCAAGGGC